ACAGTCAGAGGAAAGCACAAATCTGAAATGTCCTCTTTGCCGGGGTACTGTTTTAGGATGGAAGGTTGTAGAAGAAGTAAGAACGTATCTTGACCTTAAGAACCGAAGTTGCTCCCGAGAATCCTGCTCATTTACTGGCAACTATCAGGATCTGCGCCGCCATGCCAGAAGGATGCACCCAACAACTCGTCCTTCAGACACTGATCCAACAAGAGAGAGAGCTTGGAGACACCTTGAGAACCAGAGGGAGTATGGAGACATAGTCAGTGCAATACGTTCTGCCATGCCTGGTGCTGTTGTAGTAGGAGACTATGTTATAGAAAACGGAGATAGGTTCTCAGGTGAGAGAGAAACTGGAAATGGAGGCAGCAGCGATCTTTGGACCACTTTAGTATTGTTTCAGATGATTGGGTCTCTTGACAATAATGGAGGTTCTAGTGGTAGTGGCAGTGGTGGTGGATCAAGATCTCACAGGTCAAGGGCATGGAGGAATCATCGGCGTTCTTCAGATAGGCGATATCTTTGGGGCGAGAATCTATTGGGTCTACAAGATGAACATAATAACAATGATGATGAAGAGTTGCGTTTACAGAACGATGTAGGCCATGATTCGAATCCAGTTCCAAGAAGAAGACGGAGGTTGGGACGCCCTAGATCAAGCGGAAATCATCCGCGATAAGTTGTCTGGTAAAATTTAATATGAATCATTAGGTTATTCTTGTAGAAAACCTTTGCTATTACTGAAATTGGTTTTCTGCCTAGGTGCTATCTATATCTCTCGGGTCAGAACCAGACCGATGCAAAAGGAAAGGTTTCGCTGAAAACCCGAGAACCCTAGGATTGTTGGTTTTATGTAAATGTCATTTTGTGAGCTTCGTTAAGTCGCTCATTGTACGCTTAGTATGGTCTCTGGCTTTTATGCAATGTCTTTTATTAATTGTCACACATGGAAAAATGATTTTTTTTTTTTGTGGGTTGTTGATATGAAGTTTCTTATCTAAAAGAGGGCTTCATAGATGAAATTATGGCATACTATTTTGCAAAGAAGAAAATCTAACAGACCAAGACTAACCGAACCAACTGATTACCTAGGCCATATATATAAGAAACTATCTCAACGAGTTTATAACACACATAAGTGCTTTTTTAGACAAACAAATTGTTCTTTTTTTTTAACATTAAGAACACAAATATCTTCGGACACGTATTGGACCGACCCTGGTCAGATATCATAAGTGTAAGTTGGGACCATTGGCTAGTACATGTATTTGAACACTTGAAGTATGTAAAAGGTTGAGATTATGGCCACGTCACACGTAAACGACATGCGGGCATGAACCATAACACGTTTCATCTCACAGAATTCGGCGACGGCTTTGGAATTTAAATCGACACCGAAAGGTAGATTACTAGATTGCCTCCAACAATAAAACCAAAGCCACGCACAATTCTCACAAATTTTGAAACCTCTAAACCACAAAAATATCAGTTCCACTGTAAAGAAGCTACATGAAGTATTAGTTACGATTATTTACTCAAAGTAATTTGACGCACTAAGACAACAAATCTTTTAATTCACAAACTTTGAAACCTGACGAATTAAATGTTAAGAATAGTTAAACCAAGAAAAAAAAATCTTAACAATTACACACCCTAAACCCCATTTTTACACACATAAGTTGTACTCTCTTGACTACAATGAACCTTAAATAACTAACTTTTCCTAAGAAAATAGATGCAAGGATATTCGTTTCCAAATAAATCAAGTCTTTTTGCATTCGCTGAGATCTCTCCAAATATGCCGAAACAAATAGGGGTGAATGCTTCTTATTCACAAT